TCTCTCTCTCTCTCTCTCTCTCTCTCTCTCTCTCTCTCTCTCTCTCTCTCTCTCTCTCTCTCTCTCTCTCTCTCTCTCAACAGTGCAACAAAAGCGCTTGCGGGGATTTTCATGTGCGCACGCGAGCACACACGCACACACACATACACACACACACACACACACACACACACACACACACACACACACACAAAACAAAATTTGGGCGACAGGAGAGTGTTCCTCTTAAGGTAAGAGGAAGTTCTTTCCCAGTGGTCTCTCCGGTCGCATTCCTTGTTATCTCATCCTTGTGATGTTATCTCATCAAGTCAACCCACGGAGAAATAGTTGCAGACAACAGACAGGCAAGCAGACAGACAGACAGGCAAGCAGGCAGATAGATAAAGAGAAAGAAACGAGGGTTCTACTTTTTGTTGTTGTTTTTTCCCGGGGGGGGGAGGGGCGGGAGGGGATGGGGCACTAGCGGGAGTCAATTAGTCAAAAATTTCATACGAATATAAATCTTTCATATAGAGCATCAGTAAAGGGAAAACACAATTCTGTCGGACAAAGAAAAATAATATGCGCAAGACTTTTGCGTCGCTTGCTACACAAAAAACAACCTCCATGACTCATTTTTTTTAAATAACAAAAGAAAAAAAAAGGACCCCAAAGCCTTCGCTGGCATCTAGGTACGACCCTACACTCCTTTCCCAATTGCCCACAATCGGGTATTAAACGATGGCAGTGCAATAGCGCGATAGTATAATATTTACACATTAACACGTGTGTGTATATATAATGCGTATGTTTGGGGGCGGGGGGTAGAAAGAAAGAGAGAGAGAGAGAGGAGGGGAGGGAGAGAGGGGGGAGAGAGGGGCAGAAACAAACAGACAAACAGACAGACACACACATAGACACACAGAGAGAGAAAGAGTGTGAGAGAGAGAGAGAGAGAGAGAGAGAAGAGAGAGAGAGAGAGAGAGAGAAAATGAGAGAGCGAAAGGGGGGAGGGGGGTGTCCCTCACGAGTGCGTCTATGCGCGTGCGTTCATGCGCGAGCAAACTCAAGAGTGTGGGTTTTTCGTTCTTTTATAACTTGTCTGATGCTGTGCATGTTTGCGTGAAACAGCATTAATCCCTCAGCTCAAGACGACAATCACACTCCCCCCCCCCCCTAACCACAGACAAGCGTCATCATCAGCAAACTTTTTTTTTTTGTGGGGGGGGGGGGGGGGGGGGCTCAGTGAGGACCACAGTGCAGCAGGCCCGCACAGTGCTCGGCTAACACACACGGGGACCAACTCGGACGGACAGTTCAATGTGAAGGCGGGCAGGTCACCGAAAAGGCGCTATCCACTTCAGCTATGGAGTTGTTCTGCCCTCTAAACTTTAAGTCCAAACAAAAGGGCCCTCTCCCGGGATTCCCCCGGCTCGGTTGTCAGTCTGCGCGCACACACAAAAAGACTGGGTGCGTTCCGGCGGCAGCGGTTGCGTTCAACGGCGGCGGTGCTCAATCTATCAAAGTACACCAGTTCTTGTTTACTTTTTAAAAAAAATATCAAGCACCCACTTTTGCCATCTTTAGGAGGCTAAAAATAAAATATTTCTACCACCAACCGACATGTATTTCCAAGCGGGGCATTAAAATAACGCCTGTCACTACTCGGGTGATCCTCGCCGCCCAAAAAGATTACAAGATCGTTCACTTGTGGGCTATATCGCCCAGCACTAATCCGCATGTTGGTTTTTTGTGCACCGCTTGTTTCTTTTTAAACTAAGCTGACAAATGTGTTTAGAAAGTGAACTAACCTTTGAAAACAAAACCAAAAAAAAGGTGGGGGGGGGGGACAAAAATATTGAAATACGACACGCATTCAGGTCAAGTGTAAGATAACAGGAATGCTTCTTGCAAGGGTTAAAGTAGAAAGGCATTGAACGGATAGGAACAGCTATTCTGATAGCCCTATCGAGATAGATACGATTACGTCTACCGCTTGCTTTGAGCACGGGGGGCTTGTAAAAATATTTGTTTACTCCCCCCCCTACTGATACAGCCAACGAAGCGTCCGTTTATACCACTGACTGCTGACCCAAATGTCAATTTAATGAGACCCTCACCGTGGTCCAGGAAAAATGCACACGTCTTGATAACCGCCCAGAAACGGAACAGATCAACGACATTATTCGCACCTTTTTTCCACAGGGGCTCCGACAAAGACGTCAAGATCCTCACATTCAGATCGCGTATCCTCAAACACACACAATGGTACCATAACATGATGACGGCAGAAAAGACCCATTTCCCCACAGCTAATAATATGGGGAAATGCTCTTTCTTCTCCCCCCCCCCCCCCCCCCAGGAATAATACATCAATACTGACACATAAGAAGAAAGAGAAGAGCGAACGGTGGGGGGAGATCCTAGGTAAAAAAATACAATGACAGATGTACCTGAGCGGTAGTTTAGGACGAGGCAGCACAATAACAGCCACACATCACAAGGTACACATTAGGTTTTTTAGCTTTGGTAAGAGTTTTACGGCGCTTGCAGCACAATTGGATCATAATATAAGTGCCGAAGACTAGAGGTTGTACAAGAAAGTAACACAAAAAGAAAAGACAGAGGTGAGATAACGATAGATGTGTTGTTGTTTTTTTTGTTGTTGTTTTTTGGTAAGTGTTTTACGGCGCTCGCACTGCATAGGGTCATATGAGCGTGCGGGACACACCTAATACTTTTAGTTGGTAGGAAATTTTGAATTTTGCCCGGGTGGCGGCCGAAGCCTACTCTTATCGATTTTAGACCACCAAGGGATATTTAACGTGCGCAACTTGCACACAGGCCCTCCGAGATTTTTCGCCCTTGTCCGAGAAGGCTAGGAGTAGATCTTTCCTACCAGAAGATCAGGGGTGTGGCAGAAAAACAGCTGTAAGGAGTCAATGAGTAGCAGTAGAAAGGCTGCAGAAAGAGTCAGGAGCCCAGAGGAGGGGGCAAATGAGGTGAGGGGGTGGGGGCAGAAAGAGGAGACGAAAGCAGATGACAGAATATTGCCAGAGAGCAGGAAAGGAGGTGAAAGGAGACAATTTTAGAGAAGAAAATTTTTCGGTCACTACCCGGATTCGAACCCGGGACCTTTGCATGAGAGGCCAACACCTTATCCTCTAGGCCACGAGAGCCCCCGATAGATGTTTGATAGGAAAGAAGGGGTGAACCATATCAGAGCACCCGCCAACCACACACACAATAGGATGATAGTAGCTTATCACGCTAAAGGATGTAGAATTTCAGAGACAAGAGAGAGAGAGAGAGAGAGAGAGAGAGAGAGAGAGAGAGAGAGAGAGAGAGCGAGAGAGAGAGAGAGAGAGAGAGAGCGAGAGAGAGAGCGAGAGAGAGAGAGAGAGAGAGAGAAAGGGAGAGAGAGAGCGACAGGCAGACAGAGAGATTCCTTTTGATCAAATAAGACAGTGTACGATTAAGTAGGAGGCTGAACCTGCGACTTCCTCTCCCTTGATCAAAGCAACATGGGAAAGACGGGGGAGGGGAGAGGGGCGGGAAAGGGGAGGCGTGCAAGCTCCCATAAACACCCACGGACTTCAGGAACGACACACTGGGGACTCAATCCATACTGACACCCTTCCCCTAGTCTGACATGAAGCCAACTGAAATAACAGCACCCTCAAACCCAAGTGACGCACATACCATCAACGTGCACACCCTCCAAGTCTAACCTAATTGTTCAAACCTTAAGACAGTAGCTAACAATTGCAGTTCAGTCGTACATTTGAAGATGACTTTTCAAGACTGAAAAAGAACAACACAACAATTCACAGTAACTCCAATATAAAAAGAATAAATAATAATCAGGGAGCACAGGAAAACTACATATCCCTCGGAGTAGATATTACATAGTGCAGACCAAGGCTAGTGTGGAATCACACATATGGGACATAAAAAGAGATAGAAACAAGGGCAATCCTCATTGTGACATTTGATATTTGTAGGGACACAGCCAGCTGATACAGAAAATGTCAGAAATCCCAACGGCAAAATCTTCGCCTGTCTTTATCACAGACAGTCAAAACAAGAATGTCTATCCATGCTACAATAGAAAAAAAGTAACATTTCGTCCCTTTTGCACCTCCTCCCCAAACTCCTCCATTCCTCGTGTATTATCTCCACACTATATAAAATTTACAAAACAACTTATTTTTCATCATAATTGTCCAACATGTGCTATACGCTTCACTTGCAATTAGGTGTTGAATAATTTTCCATTTAATAAATATTATAGAAATGCCATCTAATTGAGAAATGAAAAGAGAGCAAAAATATATGGAAACATTTGGTGAGCAAAATTAGTTTGAACATATGATAAACAGCTCAAAAAGAAAACCAAAAATAACAGGTAGACCCGGACCATCTGATAATTTAGAGACTGAAAACATTCAGACACACAGATGGGAATTATGCAACTCTAGTCCAACTCCCCCCCCCCCCTCTCCCCCCAAAAAAAAACAAAGAAAAGAATGTATTCATTCACAGTAAGTCCGGTTTTGCAAACATTTAAAAAAAGACTGACTTCATGAAGAAAAGAAAAAGACAAAGAAGAAAAAAAGAACAAAACAAAGAATGTAAATCGTAATGGGAAACCTTGAACATGTAAAATGAGACCCATCTGCAAAATTATGGAGGCCACAGGAGAGCAGAAACCTTAAGTTTTATTTTTTTTAATTAAAGAAAAGGAAAAAAAACATGATCAAACGATGTTTAAAAAAGACATCAAAAGGGAAGGGGTTGATGAATAGCCAAAGACCAAGGTAAATGAAAGAAAAACAAAACAGAAACAAACAAAATCCAACAGCCTTTCACTGTGTATTTAGACATGCTAAAACCAAAGGAAGGTAAGGAGAAAAAGAAGCAAAACATTCACAAAAAGCCATCACAACCAAAAGTAAAAAGTTTTAACAAAACGTTCATTGTGTAAAGTGTATATCAAGTTCAAAATATGCTGTACTTACATTGCAGAGCAAGACCACACAGTTCAATTAACGTCTCATATGGACAGGGAAGGCGACCTGAGTAAATATCCTGCTTTAACTGAAGGAAGAACTGATACCTGTTGAGAGGAAGCACATTATTTTTTTAAATCACAGAACATTATTAAGGTTAAGAAACATAAATTCAAATTGTTAAGATTTTTTTTTAATCTTCTTTGATTGGAACAGGGAAAAAGTCCTTCCCATCAATGACAGCCTGTTAAAAACTTACATTACAGAACGTCACATCTCAGTGAGAAGTTAAATTCGAATTGAAGGTTTTGCTCTGTGCACATTTCTCACTCTTTCAGTAAAGAATATTAACTAAGGTAACAATTTCAAATTTAAAAATTGATGAACATGATTTTATTTCCACAAGGAATGCAACATATCTGGACAAACTCACTGGAATAAGTCACACAATTTCAAACACAAGGAAAACAAAGACAGTATTGTATGTTTTACACTGGGCTCAGCTTGCAAAACAGGTTGCTGCCTGCAAGGCACAGTATGAAACAATTAGACAAGAGCTCACACATTTTGCTCTATATGAAACTTGCTCTGTGTAGTGCCAAAGCAAAGTATATAGTCAAGGGAGATTTGTTATAGTTTTGCATTTCATACAGCTCAGGGCACATTGTGCTCAGTGACACAACCAGCCGTGGGACACTTTCCCTTGTTTCTCCCCAACTGTCCCATTCCTGTCACTCTAGACATAAGGGAGATTCTGACAAAGACGTCCCACAAATGAGATGAAATGGATGCGGTTTTTACAGCCAAATGCTTACGATGAAACTGCCTTCTCCATGTTGTATCGTCGCTGTCACAAAAAAAAAGTCGCAAAAGCTACAATTTGCTTTTTTCATCTTTAACATCAAAGAAGAAAAAACTTACCTTGTCAGCTCTTCATGAAGGTTGTTTGGCTCTGACGAATAAAATTTCACTCGAAAGCGGAAAGTGTACGGGGGCCCGACTGAAATCAAAACACACACACAAAAAAATTATAGGTATGTGGCTACACATGGGGCATCAACTACTGAGATAAAATATATACTTTGTGCCAGTTATTTTCGGTTTATAATCCTTATATTTTCACTGTCATTGTATATAAAACAATTTACCTGTGAAGTGCAAAAAAAAAATTATAACTGGCCAATTATAAAACAAAAGACGTTTTGATTATAATGGCATAGATCTATAGAGGACATATATTGTCAATACATTTGAATTAAATACTTACTTTTTACTTGTTTCTTTACTTGCTTCGTGGGATCAAGCCAGTGCTGTTGAAAACAGTACATGTAGACTTAAAAGACCTTTTTTAGGTGTGTGTATGTGTACACATGAGTAAGAGCCAGAGACAGAGTGAGAGAGAGAGAGAGAGAGAGAGAGAGACAGACAGACAGACAGACAGAGAGAATCACAAAGAAAGAAATGGGTCAGTGGAAAAACTATAGCCACACTAGTCCTACTAGATAGCAACACTCACAGCCAGTTTATCATCTTAAGACAAAGTTTATGTGACAAAAAAATTGACCTAAGATAAAGAGATACTTCAAAGTGGTAGTCGGGAGACCTGAGAATTACAGAGGAAATTGTTTGCCTTTGGTTTCTTTTTGACAACAGTACCAAAGAAGTGTTTTGTGTGTAACCAGGAAGAGAAAAAGCCACCATAACTTTTTTTAAATGACACAACATATCATTGGCATAACATGTCAAACTTCTTTAAATAACTTTATATAGGTTCATGAGAAATTGAAACAAAAAAGCAAAACTGAATTGTTTTTATGCAAACCTGTAGATGAAAAATAACAGGAGTCCACACCACCTTAATAAAAAAAACAACTTCTAGAATGAATATGTAGTGTCTTATTTCTTCTATTTCCAAAACAATTTAACTTACATTGACATTGAAATGATCTGTATACTGTAGACCAAAGTAATCCTTCTCTATGATGTCAAGATAATAGAACACCTGCTCAATCAGAGCACTGCCGTCTGCAGTTTTCTGAAAAAGGAACAAGATAACAGTTAGTCAATTTTTATTCCGTGCATAATACATTATAACAATTTTATTGATAATTTACTTATGCAGTGCATGGAGAGTGGAATACATTTCATTAGAACAATTTTACAACAAAAGGAGAATAGTTATTTCTCAGAACAATTTGAGCGACATTTTGGTGAAATCAGGTAATCGTCAAAATAATAAAAACGAAGATATCAACGTTTTTCCAACTAGTGAGCAATATAAAAAAAAAAAAATTTTCTCAACACCTTTTACTACACCCAAAACTCATTTGTGTTGATTTGGTCCTGTTGATTTTACTGAAAAATCTTGATGAAAGGTACAAAAATGTACATTTTCAGTCGACCAAGCTTTGGAAGTTACCAAACTTTCATTGCCATTTTCTCACTAATTTTACCTCTGACACCAGGCAACCCTCACCTCCTTCAATCACTTATAAAATATCTCCTCTTCTACGCAAGATAAAAGCAGATTTTTTGCTCATTAAAAACAAAATGAAATGCTTTAAAATACCAATAATATAACTATAAAATAATAATATGCCCCAAAATTGGCGAGCGCCTGATTCCACTGCATTGTGACACAATTGTTTACATCTCACACCAATTGCCATCTAAAATAGAGGTGCAGTATTGAAATATCAAACCCATTCTCACAGACAAAAGAATCTACAGATGTGATGCTCTCATACATTTTATGTTACAAGTAATAGATAACATGAAGAAATCAGATTCCATAAATGATGAAAATTTTTCTTCAAACAATGTGACTCTAAATTCCTGAGATGCAATTTTTTTCCCTTGTTGTTATGTTTAAAAAAACTAATGTAATCTCATTTAATTATATAATTTAAAAGTCATTATCACTTGAAATGACTTTCGTTTTAGAATCAATACATAAGTACCTCTAGATTTAGTGTTTTATAGCTTTAGTAAGATTTTACGGCATTTGCAACACAAAAAGGTCGAAGTGCTGAAGATTAGAGGTGTTACTAGAGAGTAACAAACACAAAATAGAAGGAGGGGAGGTAAAGAAGACAGATTTCTTATAGGAAAGAAGGAGCAAACTACACCAGAGCACCCGCCAACCACCCACAGATTTAGTGTGTGATAAATAAAGCAATTCATTGAACATTCCACACCCAAAAAGGTGAACAGGTAAAGAAAAAAAAAAATAGGACAAATAAGACATACACAGACACAGAAATTGAATTTTCAGTTTCCAGAACAAAGATTTTCAAAAAAGCTAAAAGTATGTATCTGTTTGAATACCAGTCATTTCGTCACACCATTGCAGTCAAGACGTCACAGTCATCTCATCATACCCTAAATCCACAACGTTGAATGGAGACGGTAATTTCGTAACAAACGTGCATTGTCATGGCAATAGCAAATCACGATTTTTGGGAGAGGGTTGGGAGAGTGTGCGGAAGGACGGGGGGTGGGCGCAACGGTTGTGCGAGTCGTTGGCCTACCTGATCAGCTACACCACTCACAAATATATCATGTATTGAGTATTGACAATATATTAAAATCTATTGAGTCAGATCAACAAAGTTTTTAAGTGATCTAAAATACTATTATTGATGAAAGGTGTGATTGGCAAGACCATATTTATTATTAGTTCTGTTAAAAATAAACTAGCTAATAGAAATGTACGGTACTGCGGTTTTGCTAAAAGCTAGACCCTTACTTTCAAACATAAAGCCAACGCTTTACCAGACATTGTTTTTGCCTTATTATTTAAACAATTAATTGTTCAACTACGGAACAGTTTGGACGAAGATTTGATTTACATAAATAATTTATATAACTTCAAAAAAAGCTTCAGGCTGATCCTCCAATACTCTACTAGCATATAACAATTTTGGAGAGGTATTTATTATAAGCGAAGTCATTTCGTCACACATAATTGGGGTGTGACAAGATGACCGCCTGACAAGATGACTGGTTACCATCTGTTCTGTTCCTACATCCTACGTACACAAATGTAAAATTGTCATGTTTTGAACACTGCCTAATAATACATGCGGATAACTTGAGAGTGACTGATGTACGCCATTGGCCAATATTTATAGTAACAGCCAACTTGTTTGACGTAACTGAGGGATTCCCACTTTGTTGTCGTTCACGGTGGCAACACAACCGCAAAGCACGATTGGAGTATTTCTAAAGCCTGTAGCTTATAGTGGCGTGGTGGAGAAGAACGATCGTTTTCCCTCCGTTTTGGAATTGGAGGAATCACTATTTGAAGAAAAGAACAATGCATAATTTCAATCGAGCAGTGACCCTCTCTATTTCTCTGCCTCTCTCTCTCTCCTCTGTGTATCGCTCGCCTTCCCTTTCTATCTTTCTCTCGTTCCCTCCTGCCAACTGGGGCATGTCATATACATTTTGCTAGCACTTCTCTCTCTCTCTCTCTCTCTTTCTCTTTCTCACACACACACACACACACACACACACTACCGGGTCTGGGCGCTGAAACTTTCCGAAATCACAAAAGAGTTCCCCTACCGGGTCTGTATACTTCGTGACTTTGTTCCTGGTTACCGGGTCTATACACTTCATTTTTAAAAACCTCTCTTTAATGAATTATCTGTGTATCCCAAAAGGCCACCTCTATTCTCACCCCGGGTGAGAATAGTGCAGGCGAGTCTTTTGGCTATTCTCACCCGGTGCGCATTCATCGTTATAGCCTAGATCTAGGCCAACCAATTTTGCGTTCACCCTAAAACACAGAATTCTACACTGTGATAACAGAAAAATTGTAGAATTCTGTGCCGTGAACAAACGTTCCATTACTACTGTTAGCCTACTAAAAGCGAACAATTTTGTCTGTGGGCAGTGGAGAGAGAGAGAGAAAGAGAGAGAGAGAAAGAGAGAGAGAGAGGAGTAGCGCGAGAACTTCCGGGCAAAACAAAACGGCGACCCGCGTAGTTCGGCTCTATTCGAAAAGTTAAATAGCCGTAGCATCTTTGTAGACGACCAAATTAATTTACTGTTGTGTTATAACATCATTTTATAACTTTGTTTTGGTCAATTTGATCGTCCACACCGATAGACAGTATTCAGAAAGAGATAGAGAGAGAGAAGAGGGGAGGAGTAGATCTTGCGAGAACTTATGGGCAAAACAAAATGGCGACCCCCGTAGTTCGGCTCGATTCGAAAAGTGAAATAGCCATATAGCATCTTTGTAGTCGATAAAATTAGCTTACTTTTACACTTGTGCTATAACGTAATCTTTTCTTTGCCAATTTTATATCCATTTGATCATCCACATCGATAGAAAGTATTCCGAAATTAGGAAAAACAGGTCTTGTTTCACACCGGGTGAGAATAGCCTACGGTGGCAAGTCTCACCCGGGGTGAGAGGTCGGGGTGAGAGGTCGATCGTATTTCTATTCTCACCCCGGTTGGAATAGCCACTTCCTAAAATGTTCACTTGTAGAGGCAAAAACTATGGGAGCCAAAACTATGACCTCTGTCACTGCCTCTGCTTCATCAACAAAGCAGTAACCCGCATTCACAGTGAGAGACTGGAGTTGAACGATTACGATGTGTCACTACTGTGTCATCGCAGCAACGGCAACAGCCCAGGGCCGGGATGGGAGGGAGTCTTTACTTTAAGTTTAGTAAGCGAAGTTTTTCTACTTCTCGCCAGCGTTCTAAATGTGTAGTATCTTTTAGATTCTGGCTTATCTTGCAATCTCAAAATAAGAATAGAAGTCACTAGATATCTACATTGCATCGGGGTAGGGCATCCTCTGCTGTGCCAGCCACAGTGACAGTGACAGTGAGTTAGTTTGAAAAGAGTGAAAGTGAAGTTGAAATCGGGGGTACGATCTCTGGATTATGCCTATGCTCAAGTCTTCGTGGACTTCGGTAACATTCCCCCCATAATAACAATCGCTTTCGTTTAATTATCTGCTTACATATATAACAAAATTAATGTCTCTAAATAACAAATGTCAGCCTTACTTGAACATCCACAGTTATATCAGTACCATCCAGAAGCATTATGGTGCAAACGATAGCATTCTTCTTCTTGACACTTGCATGTTGGTGTTGTTGACCCACATCTTGCTGCTGCGGTCGTCGGGTACGACGTTTGCTCAGAAAGCGGATCAAGGCCGCCATGCTACTAAGAACACAACATTTAAGAAAAACAACAAACTCTAAAATATAGTTACAGCTTTCCAGTCAAACGTCACTCGAAACTGAAGGTTAAAACACAGAGCCATTACACACAGTAAAATCCATCTCAGACCGACTACATGATTCTTCCTCTTCCTTCTTACGGAGAACGACGGAACGAACCGATGACTTCCGGACAAATAAAAAAAAGTTGGATCCGGCTCTTTCCGCTGCCACTGCTAGCGTCCTAGCAACAGACATTGGTTCCTCGCAGTTTCGGTTTTAACAAAGTTGATAATTGAATGACTCTTACAGAGTCCTTGAACAACTATTCATGGCTGTCTCAAGATCAGTTAAAAAGTTGTTCGAGGGCAATTCACCAGGTAATACATACTCTTGCTCTTTATACATCTAGATCTAGTGCAAAATGGATGGGGAGGATGCTGTTGGGATTGTCACTGAAAAGTGAAATAGCCTAGCCTACAGTCACACTACACAGTAGTAGTCACGTTTAACTTAGTTATTAATCTAGATATCTAGTTAAATTTTACGATTGAGTGGTTTAATAATACGAATATTTACAGTAAACAGCGGTATAAACAATAATAGCAACAAAAACAGCTATGGTTCGAATTCTGAATCTTTTGCACAAGAAGAGATGGTTGAAAAGTTTGAGCTTTGAAACTGAGAGGTTTGCTGTGAAGTTTGGAAACATTTAATATTACTGGGGTGTTTTGATGCTAGATCTATAGAAAATTCACAATTGACAACAACAGGAGAAATTCCACACAAAGGTGTAGATTATGTCCCCAGCAGTCAATAACCTACAAAATGTATTATATGATTGTACAGCCTGCAATTTTGTCAGACTATACCAGAGTATGCTATTGTTCCTGGTTATAGATTTCATTTTTAGTACCTACTGATCTCGTACCCAAGAATCTTTCTTTATATTTCAGTGAATAAATATGATCTTCTTACACTGGAACAGCAAGGAGTTGGATTGACGGAAGAGCGAATGGTATTAGCCTTTCAAGCCCTTGATGAATTGATACCAAATCTTGGTGTTTTTTCCCGGATATTTCAAAAACTGAGAGAGGATTTATTTGGTATGTTTATACTATCATCTTCCAAAGCCAGTGAATAATTATTTTTGTCAAAGCCTGCAGATGTAACATTACTTCTTTTAAATAAATTAACTGCACTGCAATTACATTTACCGCTTTTGAAACATAATGAAATAGTGATTTTTTTTCTTCTGTCTTATCTTGTCCTGTCGTTTCATTCAGTATATTGTTGATCTGATTTTGACTGTCAGAATGGAAAAAGAATGACTATTATCATTTGAAAAATATTTTTATAATTATCATGCCTAACGTTTGTGAGTGTGTGTGGGGGGGTCTTTTTAATTTATATTGCTTTTTCTGAATTCACACCGCTGACTGCTTATTTGTCCTCAGAGGCTGTTTATAGTGATGAACTCACAGGGTCAGCTGAAAGCCAAGGAGTTGGGGACAGTGGCTATATTCAGAGACTTCCTTACTTTTCTTTGGTCAGACAAGTGTACAATGAAAGACATGAATTTACAGAAGAACTCAAGGAACAACTTGAAATTGTAAAGAAAAGGTAAGTACCCTAGTGATTTAATTTTTGTTTCCCTGTTACATCTTTGTTGAAGTTTGTGATACTGCAGCACTGTTTTGAGGATATCATGCTGCTCCACTTTTGGAATGCCAATTTGGAAATGAGGTGGAAAGAAAGGATAAACATCTAATTAATACTGCTATGGTAGCATTGCAAAGCATGATATTTTTAGCATGTAAAAAGAAGTGCATCAAAAATATTGATTTATATATATAAAACAGAATTCTATTATTTCTCACTCATCGGCCTACCTTTTTCTTTTATTTTTTAGGCTTTTTGACAAGCACAAACAGCTTGAGGAAGCCCAAGAAACTATTGCAGACAAAGAGGACCACATAAGTGTTTTGAATTCTACAAAGGATGAGCTCCAGTCTATCATTGAAGATAAGGACAAACAAATTGAAGAGTAAGTCTTTTTTTTATACAATGACAGTTTTGTTTTCACAGGTGTAGAGGCAAAAGGAAACTATTATAAACAGTTCAATATCTTTTATTGATTGGTTTGAAAAGATAGGCAAAAAAGCATTATACATCTGCTTTAAGAAGTGAATGGAAATAAGGTGTTGATAATAAAATATTATAATAGCAGGAAGTTCTTTTTAAATAAACTATAAGTTTTTAGAAATTATCTCTGACTTGCCTGCTGAAGTGGAACAGATTTCTTATGAGCTTGGCTTGCATTTCGACTTTCAAAGGTTGTTTTGAAGATGGGTCCTTAATTATTTAACTCCTTCTGAAATATTTTCCTCTCTGTTGACATTAAGAGATCAATAAAAATTAACATCATCCTGTCAGTTTGTTAGTGTTTGAGCGCTTAATCGGATGCTTGCACTGTTTGCTTCCTGGGAAGCCGAGAATGTTTCTGAGTGTTATAGGGTCTTCTGGGGTACTAATATAGAGTAAAACACTTAAAGCTTGCTGTTGAGCAGGGGTATACGCTATACAAATGCTATTTATTGTTTATTGTCATATACAATTTATTAAAACTACTGACGTTTAAATTTTCCAGGCTTGAAGAAGAGCTTGAGCAGACAAGAGATCAGGCAAGAAACAAAGAACATCAACTTGAATGTGATATTGCTGATCTCAAGGTAATTTGAATATATCACAGTGTATCATGTCATGTAAATTTGTTGATTTATCAATGAGCTCTGTTTCAGAAACAAAACATTTCAACTTGAATTTTAAGTTTTAGTCTTGATGGTAATTGTCTGTTGCAATATACATATATGTAGATCTTGACTATAGGGAATCTGGATAAAAAACAATGACTATAGGAAATACATAGTTGATATACTGAATATAGTATTAGAGTTCTTTCAGGGACAATTATGGTCCTCAGCAACTGTTAGTTATCCTGGTTTCCAAAATGTGAAGCTGATGAAAAAAATGCAACGTCATATCCCAGTCTGAACACTAGTCTTTCATAGTATTTGCCCCCTCTCCCCTTCTTATTAAGATAATTGCACTTACTCTAAGTGAAGTGCTGTTTGTGTCGAGGATACAATATCAGTTCCTGCACAGTTAGAAATGGTCCATCTATTGGTCTTTGGATCTAGAGTCGGGCAACATAATCATTAGACCTCCAACACAGGAACACCTGTTTATTTTTATGCGGGGGTTTGAGTCTTTTATCCTGCTATATGTGTTATTTTGTCAACAGAATCTTTTATACAGCTTAAAAAACTGGTACCATCACCCTTAAACAATTTAAACATATGCACAAAGTGTTTTGGAATTATGGTGACAAGACAAAAAAATTGAACTATTTAATTGTGTTTTATATTGTTCTTTTTCCCTTGTTTTCTCACTCATAATAACAATACAGGAGTCACTTGATGAAGCCAAAACAGAGATTAACTATCTGTCACAGTTCAAAAAGGGATATGATGATCTCTACTATGGTGAGATTCATGAATTTTAAAATGTTTTTTTAAGGTTTGAAATTTTTGTTTTCTTGTTTTCTGTAGATTTCTTATTCAGGCATGTAATTCGTTACTGGTATTCCTTGTTTCTCTGTCCTGATCTGTTTTGCTCAAAGTGCAAAAGTAGAAATGTGCTAATGAATCAAATTTTAGAGTCTTTTATGAAGGCTTTTCAATTTTTCTTGTCATATGAAAGTCGACATGATCCGAATTTCACATTCTGCGTAATGCAGGGATGGTGTACCTAGTCTGAATTGCATGATTTTAGTTTGTGAGAAAGAAATGCTTGCATTTCCTTGTTTTATTTGTCTTGAGCAGTAGCCTATAGTTACACAAACTTACTTTCAGTTAAGATCATTTCCCAGAGAAAGAAACTTTGCAAAATGTATTTGACTCCAAGTCGCAGTAGCCTATTCTTCTCTTGATGGTTCACACTTTTTAAAATTTCTTTTTGTCATCAGCCTTCATGGAAAAAAATGATGCACTGGATTGCAATCCAAAGAAAAAGAAAAAGTCAATGATATCTACAAAGCGAGTAAGTTTCGTTCATGTTCAAATTAAAACCAAAACTATTGTTGCTGTAAAGTATTTTGAACTTTTCTATTTTGCTTGACCTTCAGGACAGTATAAAAAGCTGGAATGTACTTATGTACTCAAGTTGCAAACATATCAATAGCTGAGTGCAAGATTCCAATAAACACCAAAAGGAAAAATGGTGTTTATAGGAGTCTAGCATTCACTCATCGCTATAAAAAAGAAACGATTTAAGACATATTTTTCAATTTTTTATCTTCATCTGTACTCCTGCCCTGAGTGCTACTAACTTTTACTTATATAGCTCTCTTTACAATCTGGGCTTTAGGAGTCCTTCCTCTTCAGTAAACAGCATACCTTTTTCTAAAGTACTTTTCATTCATTAAAAAAAAAACTTTCTTTACTTTTTCAATTGAAATAAACGTTTTGTTTTGCTAAGTCAGTCAGTCTCCGCATGCTTTAATTTTTGTTTACTTTCAACATTCTGGATGTCTTTACCATGCACAACATGGTATTGGGACCTTTTGAATTTTTGGGCTTGATTGGAAAAAAATATGTGCAAGATCTCATCTACACTAAAATCTGAGTTGCGGAGAACCTGAGAAAAAGACAAAAGCTCTTTTCCTCCAATCGTATACGCAAGAACCCAAGGTTGATCCAGTGCTTTGAGACAAAATGTGAACTTTTTTTCTTGAGTTTTATAGGACTTCTGCTATTTTATGATCTGGGGAAAGTTTTAAGTCATGCACACACATTAAGAATATAATGTAAAATTTAAAAGCTATTTCATACCTTGGCTGTTTCTATCTGGTCAGGCAAATTTGCTGAGTGGGGCTGAGTCTGCACAAAAGCTGGAAGAGCAAGTTCTGTCTGTTATGAACACAGCTATTGAAGGTATCCAAAATTATTACTAATGGATATTTATTTGAATTACTTTTGATTCCATTTATAGTCACTCTTTTGAAACTATTGATAAATTCTTTGTATGACTTCTCCCAAAATTCTATAGCACCTTTGTGCCATTTTCAGCACAGGAAGGTTATTTATGAGGCAGACCTCCCATTTACTGTTCATCAGACGAGGCTCAAATTTACAAACACCTCCTTTGGGATTTCAAACCTGGGTTATTTTGAAGGAGATAAGCAGCTAATCTTGAGACCCATACCTGGCATAAAGCCGAACCAGACTGTAGTAAAGATATTGGCTACATTCTGTTAAGTGTTTTTTATGTTCTTAATATTTTAAGTATTTCTTAACAATCAAAAACTTTGTTTTAACATTAAAAATTCAATGTCTGCATTCGTGGATCTTATGGAATGCAGCAAGATAACGGAGTTAACGATCTGATTTCACACAGACTTCAACATATCATCCCTAATATTGCAAAGTTGAACGTATACTTTTATGCTTTGCTGACAGAAAAAAAAATCAGTATTTCGAATTTCTTTGGGGGGGTTTTTATGTTTCAGAATATGACAAGTACATTGAAACTCACAAGACAGATCTTGTGGAGAAGGTTTACCACGAAGACATGACTGAGGCAGAATTGGACTTGCAGGATCTAGAGATGAATGAAGCAGATGAAGAGGTAGATTTTCTTTCCTGGATAGCTGTGATAACGTATACTGCATTGAAATCAGTCATTATAAATGGAGAGTTGTTTGAGAACTGGCAAGTAAGACTGGACATGTCGTACTGATTAAAGATGAGTTGAAAATAACCAGCTGTATTGGTGATGATATAAGCAACAGAAAAAATTCTGTCTCATTGCTTATGGTGCAGGTTTTAATAGAAAGTTGTCTCCCTCAAAATAATGGGTCCATTTAACTTTATTCATGGTAGATTTCATACAATATTGGAATGTTTTTATATCACTTTCTAAGCTGGCTAGAGAATTTTAGTTTTTTAAAGAATGCATGTGAAGGTTGTTGATGAAAGCTTGAAAACAACATTGGGAGGCGCTTGTTCTCAGAAAAATGGTAGCCTTTATTTTAACCCAGCAAGGCATACAGTGGTCAGATGAAGTATATCATTATCATCATCATGCGGACAAGTATTTATAACAATGGCAGTGTGAGTTGTAGTGGGGACAAGCTAACAACTCTCTGTTCTAAATCAGCTGACTAAAAGCCTTAGGCATCAGCAAGGTATAGGCCTCTAAACAGGTAGGGTGTTCTCTAAATTACTACCTGTCCTCTCTTATAATGTGCCTTTGCCATTTCCTTCAGGTCTGAAGTACACCCTCTTTAAATAGTTAATTTGTGTATGTAGTGAAAAAAATCTATGTCACAATATTTGCTAATTACTCTTCAGCTTAGCTGTCCAACTTTAGGAACAGAACACCGGCTAAAAATAAACTTTGTGCAGTGGTCAGTGATATCTCATATTATGTAATATTATCCTGTTTGCTCTACACACCTTCATATATACACGCAAAGAGTAGGATTTTACATCTCACACTGCTCGCTGAACATTACTACAGGAGAGACAAAGCTCACAGTCTGCTCAAATTTTTAAATATAGTTTTAAAGTAATGACTGTCACTATCAACTGTAGAACATAATACTGTCAAACATTCTCTAATGGCCACCTGTCCTAGACCATCATCAGTACAAAAGACCAGTGCCCACTTCTCTTTCTTTGTATTACAATGACTCTGTTCAAGACGGCTACCCATTTAGGCCAACCACTTTTCTCCTCAACAATGGGTGCTGGTCTTGGACAATTTCGCCAGTATTTTGTATGAGGCTCATCTTTTCTTTCTTTTGATTTCTTCCCCAAAGCTGGAATCTGTCCAAAAACGGTTCCAGGGCACCATTGGGAACCTGATGACAGAGCTGGAGTTACTACGTCAACACAGTACCATGTTGATGGAGCAGCTTCAGATCTTGGAGGAAATCAAACCGGCTGCACCGTAATTATTATAATTTAGTCTACTTACAATGCAGAGTCATATTTCAGTTCTATTTTATTTGAGTTGTTTGTTAGAGTTAAGGTTGTTTTTGTTTTGGTTTACTTTGGAAGTGGGTCATTTTGGAAACAAAGGTCACTGCTTGTGGGTTGTACCTGGTTTACAAAGCATTCACACACTGAAAAATGATATCGTCTCATAAGCAGAGAATTGATATTGTTTTATTATTGCAGTACGTAGGCTTATTTCTATTTTGGATAAATTTAATAAGATGGTGTTGTTTCTCATTATATACATAAGTACTGAGTGATAAAAGAACCCTTGATGATTTATTCTCCAAAAAAACAATTAGTTGTTTCCCTGATTTATGATTTACTCTTTAGTTCCTGTTCTTTTTCTTTGCTATGAGTACAGATAGGACAAGACTTGGCAATTGGAAATAAATTGTTGATGTGCTACCCTTTACATACAATCTTTACTTTTTTTCAGTGGAAAATAAAAGAAGAAAGCATACTTTACAAGGTACTAAAACTATATATACTGTACTGTTAATTTTTATTTTAAATTTTTTTTACCTTCTTCAGGAGGAAGAAAGAGACAAAAGCTGCAAATGGAAAAGGTAAGCTTCAAAATAATTTGGTCATTTAATCTATTTTACAGAATAAACTGTAGTGCTGATTTTCATCCATTTCAATCATTTTTACTACATGTTTGGTTTGGATGTCAAAAGAATGCATTTCTTTTAAATAAATCCTGTCTCTGTCTGCTTTGGTTAAGCTATTGCGAGGCAGAGGCCAGTACTGCCGTGGAGAGGATGATGCTTTTGGGAATAAAAAAAGGAAGCGGAAAATCTGGCATCCTTGCAGGAAAGAACAGAAGAACGTTCACCCAGATGTGCACTGGCACAATCAGTAGAGGGACCCTCGGCAACATTTTGGAGAGAGCAACGGAGCATCAATGGACATGTCCGGAGTGCAGGGATGTTGCTTCCTGAAACAAGAACAAGAACAAGTCAGATTGTGTACACTATTCATACTAAAGTCTCCTTTTTGTTGCTTTTTGCAGGAGATTCTCTTTTGTTTGCTGGGTTAGAAGAGGAAGAGATCACTGAGGAAGTTGCTGATCCGTTCATTCCCCAAGAAAGAGTCTTCAGTAAATACGCTGCCATGCTGTACACTTCCAACAACCACGGGAAAACGTTTGAGGAGTTCAAGGATGCAAAATACTGTGCCAGTTGTGGGGAAAAAGTGAGCTTGTTTTAAATGTTTCCATTATGTTTCTTTCCAAACGGCCATTTAATGCCTAAAGACACTCTGTTTGACTAAAAAATAGCTACTTTGTGTTTTATGTATGCTTCATGTTTTGCTGGCTTTTCATCAAAATATTGAATAGAAATAATTCCTATACAAATGTGAGATGAAATGACAAACTTTATTTTTAACATTTGCATGTTGAATTCTCTCAGTGAGAATATTATGCGGCAACGTATATCTTAATTCTGCTCTCAGACTTTCAAAAGAAGTTATAAAGTTATTTGCTTGAGGTATCAGTACTTACTTTTACGTACAGTAGAGTTCGCTTAAATCAAATTCTGTGCGACTGCCAGATCTTCGTCAGCTTAGCTGGATTTTCAGTTAAGAGAGGCTGCTCAAAGAGAAAAAAATAAAGTGGTCATTTTCTTTTCTTTCGGGTTACCACTGTTTTTTGGATTCACCGTGTTTGGCTTAAGCGGACTCCACTGTATATGGAAGTGCTCTGTCAGCAACAGCTGTATCCTTGTGTCGAGGTAGACAACAAAATGCAAACTTTATTGTTACATTAGTAGAAGGTTCAGATGTTGTCCACTATAGGAATTTCCTTCTTTTTTAAAATTTTCTCAGACTGTGATATGTCCTCACAAGTTGGGAGGAGCTGAGAAAATTTTTATTCTCCCTCACAACTGCTCTCACATCAAAATCATACGACCAAAAGTGAGGATCAACAAAGAATTTGCAGAGTAAGTATGAGGCATATTTTAGAAATCTACATTAAGGTGTGCTGTTTTCAGAGAATCTTTTATTCTAGGAACCATATCCTACTTATGAATTGTTATACATATATATTATGTAGTTGTAGATTTTTGCCACTTTTGACTACTGGCCTTTTTTTTTTCTCAAAGACATGCTCAATACCTGTCTTTTTCTGGTGACTTATGCCTCAAATATTCACCAGTCCAATGAATAGTTTAAGTGTTTGTACCCTTTAAACCTCCTTTTTTGCATTGCTTTTACTTTTAATGTCAAAATATTATATCAAAGACTCAGGCGATTCGAAGGTGCCACTGGTAGGTCATACTTCTTAATTCTACTTCTGTCATTTCTGTCTGTCTGTCCTGCTTTTTCCTGGCACTAAGTGACTGTTATTAAGTCGATGTGCATCTCTTTGCTTAAATGAAATTCTGTTACAGATGTACAGTTATGCCATTAATTCACTGGATCTTGTCGTCTGTTCGCAGAGATATTATGAAACCCCAGAGCCCGGACCCCACCCTAGACTTTGCCCCATCCATGAGCAGTGCAGGCCACAGCTTTGTGTCAGGTCAGATCCAGGACATGCCAGCCACACCCGGCACAGTCACATCCAGGGAGAGTCCGTCGCTGGGAGCTGGGGAGGTTTACATGGTACACAAACTCTCATTGTATTAAGTTGCAATTTGAATACTATGCTTGTGTAAATGTGTGTGTTCTGCTTTGATGTTTCTATTTGTTTGCTTTCTTGTTTTCTTGCTTTTTTATTTGTGTTTGCGTGTGTGTGTGTGTTTGTGTTTGTGTGTGTGTGTATGTGTGTGTGTATTTTTGCAGAGTATTTGTGTGTGCCTGCATTCAGGAAAGATCCTGTGCCCCCTATTTCCATTATTTTACTAAACACAAATTTCAATTTTGTGTTTATATTTTTAGGTGCATTATTCTGTATCATTGAATTTATTACAGGCTTGTGTCAGCTGATTATAAGATCTGTTGCTTTGTGAAATTAACTTTTTTTTTTTTTGGGGGGGGGTAGTTTTCTGATAATGATATGATATTAAATGAAGAATGATTGTCTTTACTTTTGTCAAAAAAAGAGCATGGCACATATCTATCTCTTAATTTTTTTAAGGCAGTACCTACAGATAGATATGCGTCCCTTGAGTTCAATTGAGCAAGAAGATGGAAGATAGTTCTCATAGCTTAAAAGAGTAGGCAGATTCCATGATACTACTTTTCCTCCTGTTTCAACCCCCCAAAAATAGTTTTGAGCTGTGAATAAATCATGATCTTGTGTCTACATTTTTCCCAGGTTCACACTATGCAAAGGTTATGGGATGACTACAGACAACGAACAAGCATTGAAAGAACAATCCCAAGAGCTCTTGATCCAGTGAGTGCCCTAAGGCATTCTTTGATAAAACTTTAAGTTTAGATTTCGACATTTCTTCATATTTGTCTGTTTCGGACATCACATAGGGTAGTAGTTGTGGAAAGGAGAAAGCAAAAATTGTCCTATCTGTTCTTTCTAACAAACAGATTGTTATTTAACATAGTATGGACAATGAGAGTGGCGCAGGAGATTGACTCACCAAGTTCCACGATTGGCCCTTAGTTTCTGTTGAAACATCATCATCCTAAAGAAAGGCTGTTGTCTCACTCAAATTTAGAGTAATTATTTTTCAGTTTTGCTGTTTTGGAGCTGAGGACAGTATTTATGTTCTCTGCAACAAGAGTGGAAAATTATGACAATCACTTTCGATACTGTGGGAAGAAAGTGATCCTGGCAAGATTCATTTATGGCTTTATCTACTTTGGTCAATATTTTGAAAGTTGAAACATGTTACATTCATTCTATAACAATAAGTATTGCTCTATTATGTGAATTTTCTAGGCCTAAAGATAGTTTCCTTCAGAAGAATGTCATTATGTTACGCGATGAACTGAAACAGATATTTTTTTTAATAAATTAAAGGCACACATTTACTCTTTCCAGCAGAGTTTTATTAATGTATACACTTTCTAGCAATGATTAGCATCCATATCAACTGCTTGGAGAGACTTTTTGACTTGTAATTGCTTAAGTTACTTTTTATATTATTGTTTTTCAGGAGAGATCAAAATCCCTTCTCGAGCAGTTCCTTGGTTATGTTGTGTGGACTGATGAGTATACCACTGATGAGGAAGCAAACTTGTCTATTTTGGTAAGACTGCAAACTATTTCTGGTATGTATAACAGTTTAGATTAGTAGATGCAGAATTGTCATTGCCACCGTAAACTTAACTCAATACTGTAGACTAAAGGATGTATTGTCCATGTTCCTGCTGTAAACTGAAATCTTTTGTTTTCTGTTGTTTCAGTCATCTTTTGACTTTTTTCTGGTATTCAACGACTGTCCGTGCATCCAACCCATTTTTTCAAAGTCACTAAAAACTTATTAATAACCTAATGCTGCCCTGCACTGATTGTTGCAGTGGAACTCGGATTCAATGAAAGGAGATGGATTTCCCGTTTATTTTCTTCTTTAAAATCAATAAAAATAACCCGCATTCAACGAACACTTAAATCAGTGAGCTCAGATTGAACGAGGTCGCTTCCAGGGTGAACAGCCCCCGCAGACATTGCTTCACTCGTTTTTCTCCCACAACAAACTTTATCTATTCCAAGAAACCATCCATTGCGCCTGCATCGTGAACCATTATTCACTTAC